AGATGTGTCAGTCTCTATAATGCGGCTCCTTGAAGCCCTTTGAATAAAGTCCATGCTTCGTTCTGAGGTTAGAAGTGGCAGTGCTGTCTTCTGAAGGCGCTTGGTTGGTCTCCTCAGCTTGAGTTCGGCATTCTTAGGCCATTGTGAGGATGGGGCATGTTAGTTGTGGGTCTCTCCAACATCTGTGGTGGGCTTGCTGGGTGGCTCAGCGGTGAAGAATCCACCTGTGAGGCGGGAAACACTGATTCAATCCCTGGGTCAGGAAGATCCCCGGAGCAGGACATGGCAACCCGCTCCAGTATTCTTTTTTAAAAAAAAGAAAAAAAGTTTATTTTTTGGCTGCGCTGGATCTTCGTTGCTGCATGGGCTTTTCTCTAGTTGCAGTGAGCAGGGGCTGCCCTGCAGTTGTGGTGCACAGGCTTTTCAATGCAGTGGCTTCTTGTAGAGCGCACGGGCTTCAGTAGTCATGGCACGTGGATTCAATAGCTGTGGTTCCTGAGCTCAGGAGCACAAGTTCAATAGCTGTGGCACACAAGCTCAGTTGCTCTGCAGCATGTGGGAGTTTCCCAGATCAGGGATTGAACCCACGTCTCCTACATTGGCAGGTGGATTCTTTACCACTGAGCCACCTGGGAAGCCCCCACTCCATTATTTTTGCCTGGAGAATCCCATCGATAGAGGAGCCTGGCGGCCTACCGTCCATGGGGTCGCAAAGAGTTAGACATGACTCGGGTCCACCCCTGGCAGCCACCCCCGCCCACCAGCAAAGCCCAGCAGAGGTGATGGAGCCCATGTCGCCCCCTGCAGACTCCCTCTGAGCACGCACGCCCGCCCCGCCTGTGGTGCTGCTGCAGCTTCCCAGTGGAGGGAGCTCCTGCCTCCTGGTTACATTCTTTACTTAGTCCCTATTATCAGATACTGTTTCCTTTTTCTCTACTGTTAAAATACTTTGATGCTTGCTGCACATTTACTCCTTAAACAGACATTTATATTGAATACCTGCTATTTACTAGGCCTTGGCACGTTTGTACACATAGCCTTTTCCATATTTTGGATAAACGTGTGTATGCCAGGCTCTGGGATGCTTTGAGTTCAGTGGTGTGATCTGGGGGTAGGTGTGCATTTTTTAGGGGTAGTGGGGTACTGGGAGCAGGAGCTGTCACTGTCCTGTAGCTCATGAGTCCCCCCAAGATGGAGGTTACATAACTGTTATGCAGACCATGCTGGGCGATATACTATCTCTCCCCTCTGAGCTTCCAGTATGGGCTGGCTTTTCATTCCTCAGCTGGAGTGGAGCTTGCATAATCTGTTCAAGGTCAGCCAAGGAGTGTTGGGTAGGTAGGCTGACAGGCAGTGGAGGGGAACCAGCGATTCCTGTCTTCTGGTGTGACTTATTTGTCTTTCTCAAAGTCATCAGTGACTACAGGCAGGTCTGCTCAGCCTGACCTGGCCATTTCTTGCTCCCACTTATCTTTGGGAACCATGCTCCCAGGCTGTGCCTTGAAGCCATCACCCAGGTAGAGACCTGGGGTCTTGCCTTCCCCTTCTGATTTCCATCTGTCCAGGGCTGGCTGCCTGCCCATGTCAGAATATCCTATTTGGAAGCTGAGCTTCTTATAACATTCTGTGTTTCCTGTGTACAACCTTATATTTCTACTTCTGTATCCACTGCAGTGTGTTCACCACCAAAAATTTAGTTTCTATCTGTCACCATATAGTTGATCCTTTACCCTCAATCCCCACCCCCGCCCACCACCCTTTTCCCTTCTGGTAACCATAACTCTGTTCTCTCTGTTTGTTTGGGTTCATTTATTTTTGTTTCTCTTTTTTTGCATTCCACATATGAGTGAAATCACAAGGGATTCAAAGAGGATATGTCCCTCCAAGATGGAGGTTACATAAAAGTCGTTTCCGTCTGACTTATTTAATTTAGCATGATACCCTCAAGGTCTGTCCATGTTGTCATAAATGGCCAGATTTCATCTTTTTTTTTTTTTTTCAGTGGCTGAGTAGTATTATGTCACATGTGTGTGAATGCACACACAGACACATACATACACACATGTGCCACATCTTCAGTATCCACTCAGTTGTTGATGGGTTTGTAGGTTGTTTGCATTTCTTGGCTGTTGTAAGTAGTGCAGCGATGAGGATAGGAGTGCATGTGTCTTAACGAATTACTGTTTTTGTACTCTTTGGATAAATACTAGAAGTAGAATTGCTGGATCATGTGATATTTCTGAGAATCTCCATACTGTTTTCCACAGTGGCTGCGCCAGTTTACACTCTCACCAGCAGCACTTGATGGTTCCCTTTTCTGAAGACACTTGGACCGATGCTGCAGAGACAGATGGGGAGTGGTCTGGAGCTGATCCAGGTGGCGGGAGGGGCCAGGACCAGGGTTCAGCCTGCAAGTCAGTGCAGGCAGGCTGTTCAGTGAGAAAGCAGAACGCTGAGTCCTCTCCCCCTCTAGTCCTGGCCTGAGAAAGCATGGGTGGCAATCATTATTTCTACAATGAGATTGTTTTTGAAGCAGGTGCTGAGAACTGTGTTGGGTGCTGTTTGCCGTTGTAAGAAGGCTGAGCTCAAACAGGCGGAACTGCTTCAGTCCTGTCAAATAAGTGCAGTGGGAGACAAGAGGTAGGCCAAGAGGAAGACTGCAGGAAGGGCAGAAGGGGCAGCTGCAGCCACACAGTTGCAGGGAGCCTTTGGCGAAGACGGCGTCAGGGTCATGCCCTCCTTGGTGGGCGTTACCTCAGGCTGAGGAGCGGGTTTGGCCCCACTCAGCCCGTGGCTCCTGTGCGCGCTCCCTGCCAGCTGCTGCGCTGGGGACGCAAGGAGAGCCTGGTCTTGTGTGCGCTCGCTCCGCCATCCCACCTCTCTTGTCCTGGATGGTAATCTCCTTAGCGGCCACTTTAGGGTGATTTTTGCTGTGGGTGGAGTGTGTTTTGACAGGTGGCTTTGCTTTTCATTTTTGGGATTAGGGATAAGCAAGGGCATTTGGGGAGCATTAAATGATGAGTGTTCTGCCTCTTTCCTGAGGGATGGACCGGTCCAGATGCGAAAGCCGCGTGTGCCTGGTGAGGTGGGCCCTGGAGCCAGGGGAGGGTACTTGGGGAGGCCCTGGCCCTTGAGGTAAGGGGGTCTTAGCTGACCTGGAGATGTTGGTACTGGACTGCTCTCCCTGTCGCCCAACTGGGGCTGAGTCTGTGGCCCAGCTGGTGGGGACAGCACTGAAGAGGCACTCTGTCCACTGATAACTCAGTGCTGGTGTGTGTGCGGAATGTTCGGGGCCCTTTGCTGAGACTTTCTGCACGTTTCCTTGGGGCTCTGACACCTCAGCCTTCAGCCCCTGGTGGTTTCCTTGTTTCTCCTGGGAGGAGCCCTGGCCCATCTGTGGGCTAAAGCAGGGAGGACCTGGTGGTTGGATTCCTGGTCTGTCCCTGGGGTGGGTGTGCCTATGGGGCTCGTTTGGGGTGAAAGGGAAACAGATTGGGAGAGGGATGTCCGCAGACTTGGGAAAAAAACCAGTCAAAGCAGCCTAAAATGGGTCTTCTCCCATGTTCTTTGTGCCCTGATCCTAATGTGGACTGAGTTGCCTTTGGTTCCAGCCTGATCATGTGCGAGAAATAACAACAGCAACAAAAATAGGATCACGTAAACAGCTTACTGGGCTGCTCCTCTCTGCTCTGATACAAAAGGGAGCTGAGACAGAGCTAGCAAAACCTCTGAAAAAAAGTAAACTAGAACTTGGACCACAGTTTTATAATTTAAATTGTGGAGGCTTGCAGGTTTGTTTGTTTTTTAAACATTATGCTCATTGGTTCTGTGTGCTCCTTGCAGTGCCTTTGAAGTTAAGGCTTTGGTCAGGCTGAACTTCCACTTGTGATACTGCTTCCCTGGGATCACTTGGACCACTTTTCATTGGTTTCCCACTTAACCAGGAACATGCCCTGTGGATGTTTATTTATGTGGGTACATTTGTATGTTACTTTACATGGGGTGTATGCAGTTCCAGTTTGATAATTTAGGTGTCCTGTATTTAAAATAGATACATCTTGGGTCACTTGAAGTTTTGGCCAGTTGAAGCTAACAATTTTGGAGATGGAAAAGATGCAGAAGATAGTGCTTTCACATGTTCCCCTCTCCTGGATGGAGCACGGGGTGTGTGCTGTCCAGATTAGACTCTTAATTCTGGGTACATAATGTGTCAATGTGGAGGCTCCCAGCAACACAGCATGGTCCTTATTTGAACTTATTTGAAGTTCTTGCCTTCCTTGAACACTGAGGTGCTTAATAAATGCTTGTTGACTGACATAGTGACATGCATCAATCTTTGATAGTTGATTTTGAAAATAAAGTCACATTGACACTCAGTAGATGTTTGTTTGAATTAAATTTGGGAGGGGTGTGTTTGCATTTCCTTCCATGGGAAAAAGTTGCTTAGGTAGGTAGGTAGGTTTTACTGTTTCCTCTATGAGGAATATGATACTCTAAAAGTGGGTTCCCATAAAATGCAAATGTTTTGTGAAACGTTGAGTCCATTCTGACACACAGTAGGTACTCCATAAATATTTGTTGAATGAATGAAATCAGAATTGTTTGGAAAATATGATACTATGAAATGCCCTAATTTCTATTCAATGTATTTAATGTCCTAGCAGTCAATATTTTGTAAGAAGATAATGTCTTGGCAAGAGTCCTGCAGTTCAGTAAAGTAGCTGGCTCATGGGAGTGTCTCTTTGACAATCAGTTCATTTAGCAAATACTGACTGACTCCTGCCATTTTCTGGGCCTGTGCTTAGTCCTGGGGATACCTAGGAGAAGAGGTCTCCAAAGTCAGACTGGTCTGCTGTCAATAAAAACCTACTGGGTGTTTCCACCTCTGGCCACAAAAAGAAGCAGGAGACTGCACAGGCTTCTTTGTCCACCCGTGGGGGAAAAAGGTACCTGCAATTTCCAGTGTGTTTATTATGGTGATTCTTTTATTATAGCAGAAGATGGCTGTGCCTCCCACGTATGCTGATCTTGGCAAATCTGCCAGGGATGTCTTCACGAAGGGCTATGGTGAGTGTTGCATGGAGTGGCCTTTCAGCTCAGAGACTGGGTTCACTTGTTTGGTATTTTACCCATCACAGTTTGAGAGACCTGGGTCAGTCAGCTCTTAGAATCTTCATGTCAGGGAAAAAAGATAAGCCTTCTATGGCTAGTCAAGCAGTTTTGGTTGCACACCCAGTTCAGGTAGGTTAGCGAATTGCTCAGACAGGTGGACCTTCTTGTTTCCTCTCCCAGGCGGGAGCAGGTCTGGGTGCCGCTGTGGTGGACTGTGGCTTCTAAATTTAGCTTGTCCTTAGGCTGGTGCTCACGCTGTCACACACCTTTTTCTCAGACTCCGCTGGGACTGCAGGTGGGACTCTGCCTGTTCCTTCTGCCACTGTTCCATGGCAACCAGGCTCCATGGCAACCAAGCTCCACCTACAGAGGCAGGCAGCAGTGAATACTGGTGCCCTGTGCACTCATGGCATTTTTAAGATTTCCTAAGGGAGGCAGAGATGCTGCTCTTGAGTTATTTAACCTATTAACAGTAACCATGTTCTTTCTTTAGGATTTGGCTTAATAAAACTTGATCTGAAAACAAAATCCGAGAATGGATTGGTAAGTTGTCTGGCCCACATGCGTATGGGTATTTATTGTAGATCAGTAAATAATAAATAACTTCTATCTGAGTGGCAAACAAAGGAACTTTTCTGATTGTGGCAACTTGTGGTTGTCACATTTGTTGTATCTTCTGTGGGATGGGTGGTCCAGGGGAACCAAGCCACTAGGTCCCCAATTCAGCATCTGTTAATACTCATAGGAATATGAGGCAGGCCTCTGATTTATTTTTCCTTATGTATCTTATTTCAAAATTGACCTGTGTTCCATACCACATGATTATTTAAAAAAAAAAAATTAGTAATGTCTTTTAGATTGTGCATGTGGTAATTGTCAGAAGGAAGAAGTTTTGGGTAGAATTACTGCAATGTCCACTTTAGCTCAAAGCTTTTTCTCTGTGTGAGCCTGAAGACAGGATGGAAGGAGGACAGGAGGCCTTCCTGTCCAGACTGAAGAGTTGCAGGGGAGGAAGGAAGCTGTCTCCTGATATAGAATTCTCTGTAAGATTCCTTTAGTTAGCGGATTCCATCTTTAAATAGTTGGTTAGTTGCAAAGTCGTGTCCAACTCTTTGTGACCCCATGGACTGTAGCCCACCAGGTTCCTCTGTCCTTGGGATTTCCTAGGCAAGAATACCAGAATAGGTTGCCATTTCCTTCTCCAGGGAATCTTCCCAACCCAGGGATAGAATTCGCATCTCCTTTATCGGCAGACGGATTCTTTACCACTGAGCCACCACACTTTAAATATCTAAATCAATTATGGATGGAGCTCTTGCAGCCACACATTCAGGGTCTCACCTATTGCATAAAGGAAAGTGCAGTCCATTTAGGGGTGGAGTGATGCAGAATGAAGTGCTGGCATGCAGGCTGTGACTGTCTTCTTTAAAGGAATTTACGAGCTCAGGTTCAGCCAACACGGAGACCACCAAAGTGACGGGCAGCCTGGAAACCAAGTACAGATGGACTGAATATGGCCTGACGTTCACAGAGAAATGGAACACAGACAACACGCTGGGCACGGAGATCGCTGTGGAGGACCAGGTACTGGGCGTGTGCGAAAAGACGCGGTTTTATCAGCTGACGTCTGCTGGCCTGTCTTGTGACTAGACCTGTTGGTGAATTTCTTTTCTGTTCAGCTTGCGCGTGGCCTGAAGCTGACCTTCGATTCATCCTTCTCACCAAACACTGGGTAAGGATTTCGTCTGTTCTCTCCTTAAGGACTCTTAGCAGTGTTTTATAGTAAGGTTCCTTCTGTGCTGGTTGTTACTGTTTTACTGGCCTCAGCTGAGGAGGCTGCAGGATTTCTGGTCCAGTGATGCTCCATTCCTTGTGAGTGAGGCTGCTGGTAATGTTAAGTGGCCAAGGCTGTAGGGCGGTGTTTGGAAGCAGGGGCTAATGGGTCACTGTTGCCAGCCTCATTTTTTTCAGGCTGGAGAGCCCTTTCCTCAGCTTCCTACTTAGGGACACTGAGAGTGTGTGGGCTTAATTGCAAGGTGGCTCCTGAGGCTGCACTTTGCTGCTTCAGGCCCTCCAGCCACAGGCAGATTAGGCCTGCTGGTTATTGAGGACCTGGGTCTTCCCTGGCGGCTCAGCAGGTAATGAGGCATCAGTGCTGCAGTGCGGGAGACACAGAAGATGTGGGTTTGGTCCCTGTGTCAGGAAGATCCCCTGCAGGAGGAAAATGGCAGCCTGTCCCAGTGTCCTTGCCTGGAGAATCTCGTGGACAGAGAAGCCTGGCGGGCTACAGTCCCTGAGATTGCAGAGTCGGACGTGATTCAGTGACTAAGCACAGCACGGCACGGGAGGCAAGAGGATGTGCTGGTCTGCCTCAGCTCCCGGAGCTCCTCACAGTGGCTGAGGGAGTTGTTCTCCTCCAGAACACACTCTTGTTTTTTTCCACTCAGCAGTTGGGTCTTTTAGATCTGGGAAGGTTGTTTTGCACACTGATGATAAGCCTCAAGGGCGTGTATTGAATTTCATTTCCTAGTTTTTAAAAATTGTGGTAAAATGCACATAAAATTTACCACCTCAACCATCTTTTAGGTGTGTGGTTCAGTGGCATTCTGAATTCCATTTTTTGCCATTTCATGTTATGTTCTCTCTCTCCTTCCTTTTTCTTCTTCCAATGAATATTTATTAGAGGGAGACTCTCCCGAGTTCAGACCCTGTGCAGGGTGACCCCAAGGACTGGGCACACTGGGATCCTGCCTCTAGATTCTAGTCTTTTTATAACTTGATTATGGATGGTCTGAAGGAGCTGAATTGACCTCGTTCTCATCTCTACTGTAGTCTCTCCCGCAGGAGCATGGCCTTCCTGCTCGTCTGCTTACCCCCAGGCACCATAATGGGAGCTTATCCAGAGAGACACTGACAGCACAAGGGCTGGGGGCCGTGCCCATGTGCTTGGATTTGCTGCTGAGGGCTTTGCTGCCCTGAGGTGGCACACTTTGGAATTTGTAAAGGGTTTTCTCACTGCCTTTGGGGAGTTTGCAGAGACGTCTCTAGGACTTGCAGCAATATATACATAACTGAAAAGTGTTTTTTTTTTTTTTTTAATTTAACTATTTTTATATTTAACATATATAAAACTGTTGCACAAATAGTGTACAGAATCCTCTTATATTCTTTACTTGCCTTCTCCTAATGTTAATATCTCATATAATTATCAGAATTATATGATAGGAGATTTGTTAGCTAATCTTTTGTCTTTCTGATGTCTTATTTCTCGGTTCATGATCTAGTTCAGGACACTATATTGCTTTTAACTGCAAAGTTTCCTTTGTCTCTTCTAACTGGGGCATAGTCTTTATCTTTTATGACTTTGTCACTTTCAAAGATAATTGGCCAATGACTTTGTAGAATCCTTCAATTTGGGTTTGCCTGATGTTTTCTTATGGTTAAACGCAGGTTATGCATTTGTGACAACCACAGACATCGTGTTGTATTCTCTCCGTCTTGGTGTGTGACCTCAGGAGGTATATGTTAGTATGCCTCATTACTGGTGACGGTACTTGTGTCACTTGGTTAAAGTGGTGTTTGCAGACTTCTCTGTAAAACTAATTTTTTTTTCTTGATAATTAACAAGTATCTTGTGTGGGAGATGCTTTGAGACCATGCAGATATTTTATTTTTTGTATTTTGACTCAACAAGTATTAGCATCCATCAGTGATTCTGGCCTATAACAATTATGTTTGGCAAATGGTGATTTTCTGTTCCCATCATCCCTTCCACATTTATTGAGATTTTACTGTGAAGAAGAGTTCTTCCTTCACCACCTTTTATTTATTTGATGAGTTATTTGTATCAGTATGGATTGTTAGTTATTTTACTTGTACAGATTATAATCCGTTACTATAATTAATTGTGTTGCTCAGGTTGTCCTAGGTATGGCCATTGGGAGCGCCTTCAAGTTGACGTCCTGTGTGCTTTTGACAAGCCCCTGACATGAATACTTCTTCAGAAAGTGTGCTTGTCCTTTACTAGTCCTGCTGTCAGCCATTTCTCCAAGGAGCTTTGGTTCCTTTTATTGAGGAATGGTGTTTAGAAACCAAGACTGTGGGCACAAGATGTACTCATTGCTGTTGGGTATTTGAGGAAGGTTTTGATGACTTGATAAAGATTGGAAATGAAAGCTGTTTTTCCAAGTGTCTGAGGGGTACGGCCTGGGAAAGCATCCTGGCTTCCTTTAAGGAACTAAACATCACCACAGCCGGATGAGGCTGCAGACGACCTTATCAGGACACTGGTACCTGACATATAAAGCCAGCTCATTAACCACAGCTGAGTGTACCTCTCAGGTGCTTGTCAAATTAGCACCATTGTTTAAATAGCTTCAAAAGAACCCCAATAATACCTGAAAGGGGAAAAGCTCCAAAGGTGTGGAATGCTGCCCTAGAGCCAAGCCTGGAGAGAAACCTGAGTCACTGCCCCAGCAGTGCGCATTCCCTGGGGACCTGGTGCCTCTGGCCAGAATCCATGGAGGTGATACATGAAGGCACCGTGTAACTGTCCACTGTGGCTGGTCCACACCACTGGTCAGAGGCCCAGTCACAGGTGTCGTATTTTGTGTCAGCAGTAGCATTTTCCCAGTGGTTAGAAGATGCCTGCTATTTCCATGTCTTGGTTTCTCCCTCTTTCTAAATGTCAGCCTCTGAGCAGCTGTTTTTTCCATCAGTTACCTGCTTGGTGCCAATTAGGTACATCGTCATAACCCAGGTTTCTTCCCCTAAAGAGCAGGTGGACCTAAATAGGTTTGTTTTCTTTTTTTCCTTTTGGCCACCCCGTGCAGCTTGCAGGATCTTAGTTCCTTGACCAAGAATTGAACATGTTCCCCCTGCATTGGGAGCATGGAGTCTTAACCACTGGACCATCAAGGAAGTCCCTTAAGTTTTTCTTATTGAGAGAGAGAGTTTGATTGTCACTCCTTTTCTTCAAAGCTTGCAAAAATACACAGAAGCAACTTGAACAAAAGTTGCAAGTTTCATTGTCACTAGGGAAGGCTGTTAGTTTTATTTTCACCTGTGATCTCTGAAATTTTGACTCATTGAAACTTGGAGTGTTTAATATTTACATTTTTTATTGTTGAAAATTTCAAACATACAAACGAATGCCAAAAATTATATTATATCTTCATCATGTTCTCATCACTGAGCTTTTAATAATTATCATCCCATGGTCAGTCATGTTTAATTTATACATCCATAATCAATCCCTCTTACCCTCAGATTATTTTGAAGTAAATAACAGGTATCACATAATTTTATCTGTGTATATTTTAATATGTATCTTTAAATAAGATTCCTTTTGAAGACAGCATAACCACAATATTCATTGTGAAAATTAATCATAGTTTCTTAATATTGTTAAGTCTAGTCTCTTCAGATTTAGCTGATTTCATGAAACTTTTTTATAGAATCAAACATTGTCCACACATAATTATAAAGATTGGTTCATATGGCCCCTAAATCTTGGTTTTTAAGAATCTTGTTTTTTTTCCCTTGAGATTTATTTGTTAAAATGGGATCATTTGTCTTCTAGAATTACACATACATTTTGCTCTTTGCATTCTGTGGTGTTGTTTAACTTCTCCCCCTGTCCCCCATATTTCCTGTGGATTGCTAAGTCTAGAGGCTTCATCATATTTAGATTCCACTGGGCAGGTGTGGTGCTGAAATATACTTCCATAGGGATGTATACAGAAGTTTGGTTTTCTCTTTGTATGTTAGTGCTATTCATGACTACTCAAGGGGTTACAAATTGGTGATATTTCTACCTGTATCTTTCCTTCATTTTTTTTAGCTGGAATATTTCAGTAAAGAAAAACTTCTCATCAACTCTGGTTATCTTGCAGTATAGTTAGTATAGGAAAGGTGGGATACATGTTTGGTGCCTTTTTTATTTACTGTTTTCAAAACAAATTCGTTCACTAGTCTCTAAAGATGACCAATGTGTATGTGTCTTGAGTTCATAGGTTGAAACATTTGAAAAAAAAAAAAAAAAGAAACATTTGATATCCTTCAATCCATTGCTCATACTGTCCCATGTTTGAAACCCTTGGGAGCCTCTTCATCTTAGTTCTCAAGTCCTTTTGCTCCAACATCAAGTTCTTTGATAGCTTTGGTGGATGCTTCAAGCTCATCCTGCACCTTTCCTGCCTTAACCTGTAATCTGCAGTTTTCTGAGGAGTGTTGGTTCCTTATAGGAGGGAATGGCATTTAGGGCCCACAGTCTGGGTGCTGGAGGTAAAGCTTTAATCTCAGTATGAATGAAGTTAGGGTGGACAGGGCTATGTGGTTCTTGATCCTTGAAGCATACCTGCTTTCTCCTGTGGTCTCCACTGAAAGTGTTCTTGCTGTGGAAGATGTTCATTTTGCAGTTGAATGACAGAAACAATCAGGTGGAAATAGTCGATTTTATTTGATAGATATGATCTTGTCTCTAATGCTGATTTTTGGTAAAAGGCATGATGATAATGTATTTGCAGGTAACACAACTCACCTGCCCTTCCTGAGAAATGCTGGGTCTTGTGAAATAGGGAAGGGAGGCACTGATCTGGTCATACATGCAAATCTGGGGTCTGGCCCAGTCTACCAAGGCTTCCTGGCCCCTTATGACTGCAGGGCCTCAGGTTCTACCTCACTACCTGGTTCTCTGAAATCTATATTCATTGGAATAACATGGATACTGAATTAAAAGCCATCTGTTGAATTTACTTAGGAGGAATCTAGTATTTGTTTCTTTATTTACTAAGTGAGCCACATAGTAAAAGCTGCTGTTTAGGGACTTGCCTGGTGATCCAATCAATGGTTAGGACTTGGTGCACTCACTGCTGGGGCCCAGGTTCAATCCCTGGCTGGGGAACTAAGATCCCACATTCTGTGGGATGTGATCAAAAAAGAAAATTGTTAAAAATTCTGTTTAGATAGCTACCTTCATGACAGATTCCCCCCCCCCCCCCCAACAGATGTGGAAAATAGCAAAGATGCATCTGTTTCATAATTACATGGTGGCACTCTACCTAATGAATGCCTGTGTAGGTCACTGCATTAAGCATAGGGAGACGATAGTGAAAATCACGTAGTGTTTCTTTTACAAGGCTGTGTTCTCACTTCATTAGGGTGGCATTTCTGCATTATTTTGGATTTTGGTTGAAGAGAGGTTGCAACAGCTGCTTAAGGACATCTGGGGCCCTGACTTTGCTTTCCTACCCCCCTACTCAAATAGGGATTAGCTTTTTAAAAGGTGTATTTCTGGCGTGGTTGTCATGAAATGAGTTAACTTCTGATTTTAATATGATTTCTTTTCCTTCAGGAAAAAAAACGCTAAAATTAAGACAGGGTACAAGCGGGAACATATCAACCTGGGCTGCGATGTGGATTTTGACATAGCTGGTCCTTCCATCCGGGGCGCTCTGGTGCTGGGTTATGAAGGCTGGCTGGCTGGCTACCAGATGAATTTTGAGACTGCAAAGTCTCGAGTGACTCAGAGCAACTTTGCGGTTGGCTACAAGACTGATGAGTTCCAGCTTCACACTAATGTGTAAGTGTACATGAGTGTGTGCAGTCCGGGGATTGTTGTTCATGATTTTTTTCTAAGCTCATTTTTTAATCACTGTGAAATGAGTTTGTTGGAATCAGATGAGCCAAATGGCCTACTAGTGTTTTCTTGTTTCTCACTTACCCATTTCCTGAGGTGATGTAGGTTCTTCCTATTCTGTGGACAGTAAAATGTTGTCCCTGGTGCACACAGAAAGACTGACCAGTTATGGCAAGAGCGTGATGTCAGTCCACAGGAGCATCCCTTCCCTGCAGCTTTACAGACACTGGCGGTCCTTTCATTTTAGTTAATAGGATGGGGGTGGGGGGTTGTAGCCCTCTCTCTCTGTATACTGCCTGAGAACCAGCTTGCTGTACTGAATGGAATGTTGGCATGGGAGACTAATTAGGAGATGATCGTCTCAGTTAAATACTGTCTTCTCTGCGTGGCAGTCCATTTAAAAGTTTGTTAACTGGACAGTATTGTGAAGGGAAGAGAAAATTACAGGGTAAGTTAGAGAAGACCCTTTGTAATCAAACTTGAGGGTTGAAATAGACTGCTGATTTAGATGGAAGGGAAATGAAAATTTCATCCATGATATCTCTGTAGATACAAGAAACTAATGAGTGGTACAAGTTGGGTACAACTTTATCAGATTTCTTTCTGTCCACTAGAGGTCACTAAAGAAGTGACTTAAAATTTACAGACAAGTAGATGGTATTTGTGTCTAAACTAGTAACATTTCTATTAATAAAATTTTGAGGATTTTTTTATAATAAACTAACATAAAGATATATAGTAATATAAAAAATTAATAAAATGTGAGTCTTTTAAAACTAAAGGAAAACTTTAGAGAAAACTTTAAAACTGCTTTCAAAGGAAAAATATAGAGATGGACAGCCCAGTGGTTGAGAGAGGGGAACAGGGAGGGTGTTATACAAAGGGGTGGCACAGGGGAGTTTGATTGTGGACTGTTCTATATCCTGGCCACACGAGTCTGTCTATAAAAACTCACAGAAGTGTATACTCAAAAAAGGTAAAAAAAAAAAATGTAAATTTTAAAAAGATAACGTGCAGGAAAGTCATAGGAAAATATCACAAGCATAGAAGTATTTTTTAATTGAGAATTTTGGCTGATTCAGAAAGAGCTTCCTTGGTTTGGAATTGGGAAATTGCACAGTTCTAGGAAGAACAATGACTGTTAGCTATTTTCCTTATCTGAGCCTCAAGGTTTTCAATAAGTGGACATGGTTCATTTTTGGAACTGGCATGGAAACAGCTGACACAGCTAGTCTGGGTTGCCCTAGTCTTGCAGAGGTCCAGATGTGTAACAGATATTCTGTGTGCTTCCTACAGATGAATTCTGTGCAGTGAGTTCCTTCTGTCTATGGTTTTAAGAGTTCAGTACAGGAAGGCAGTGTTTCTGGTTTTAGAATGCATTGAGAAATCTAACATTTAAACACATTTAAGCCCAAGAAAATTTCCCTCTTTGCATCACACCACAGTCAGTCCAGAATCTATTGTGTTTGACAAGCTGCTGTTTTATAGCATACTGACTTTCTGAAGAAGTTAGATTCCCTGTGAATCAGGTGGTGTCTGGGCTCGTCCTATACTTTTTGGCTAATTACTTTACAATATTGTAGTGGTTTTTGCCATACTTTTTGGAATTACAGTGTCTGACTGGCTGAATTTCACGGGAGAACTTAAGAACTTAGAATGTGTTCTCTGAGCATCTACTTTAGGAGAGCATATTAGTGAAGAGCAGAGTTTGTAATGAAACAGCGACAATTTTTTTTGTTGGGTTAGTGAGTTCTAGGCTTTTTGCTGGATTCCAAAGTATATGGGCTCTGCCTTAACAGTTTCCAGTGCTGTTTCCACTGGAGACACCCAAAATGATGGAGCAGAACTTTGACATTGTATTTTTATATTAAAAATGTCAGAGGCTGGGAAGAGAGGAAACCCAGTTTGGCCTGCTGGGTTTCATTCATTCATTTTTGAAAGACAGAAACATTTTCTAGTATGGCAAGTTGCTCCTTTTCAGGGTTCACCAAGACTGTAGGTGTTGCAGCATGGGCCAACGAGCCTCAATTATAGGTTAGGTTCTTTTGTAATTGCTGTTCCTCCTACTGGCCGTGCACCCACAGCAGTGGATGCAGCTGCTGGTGCTAAGCACTGGCTATAGGCTGCCTTCTGAGGAGTATGAATGGCCTGGACTTTCTTACCATTTCTGGCTTTGTTCTAGATTTCTATGTTTATAATACAGCATTTCATAAATGTAATAACTTTAGCAGCTGAAGGAAGAAATCACTCAGAATTCAGAATCCCACTGCCCTAGTCACTATTTTTATTTTAAAGAATATTTTGGAAGCAAACTTCAAGTTCCTTGCAGCCTGAGTAGTTGACTGAGTTGCCTTGCATGTTCCCAGTGATGTCTGAGATAGCTTTTACCTTCTGTGAACCTTCCCAACCCTGGTGTCTGTGCCATTCCTATCAGGCTTCCTGTAATTTGGTGCCTGTTTTGTGATCAGTTCAGTCCGTTTACAAAATTCCCATCCTCTGTTAGACTTGGTTAGCTTTGCCCAGCTCAGCCCCGCTTGCTAAGCTGCTTGGTATCTGTGCTGTGCTTATTTGCAGAAATGATGGAACAGAGTTTGGTGGCTCCATTTATCAGAAGGTGAACAAGAAGTTGGAGACTGCTGTTAATCTGGCCTGGACAGCAGGAAACAGTAACACTCGCTTCGGAATAGCAGCCAAGTACCAGATTGACCCAGACGCCTGCTTCTCGGTGGGTACCTGTGGAATCATGTATTGCTGAGACCCCACCTGACTCCTTAGGTTGCAGTCCTTTAGGGCTGATGGGGAGTTCCATGCTGCGGATAGTGATTTTTCTCACTATGAAAGGGTTTTTACCACGAGTAAAACAATAAGAGCAATAGTACTTAACTGTGGGTGCCAAACACTGTATGGAGCCTATTATATGTGAATTACTGTATTTAATTCTTGTACAACCCACTTGAGATAAGTGCCTTTTTAAAACTATCCCATCAGTTTTCACAAATGAGGAACGGAAAGCTCAGAGCATCTGAGTGACTTCCCCAAGGGCAGGCGGTTGCTAAGTGCTGGGGTTTGTGTTTGACCCAGACTGCCTTGCTATGGAGCCTCCTTCTCTAACCAGTCCCTAGTCCGTGCTGCAGACTGTAAACCTTGAACCTAAGGTTTTAAATGTTCCTTTCCTCCTCAGTTTTCATTCTCTTGCCCTGTTCCTATACCGCATATTAAGAAATCAGGCCCTCTTATTGACTGACTAGCCTCTTATCTTGCAGACCCTGTAGCAGAGCTGGTGGACCCTTAAATCTTGCTGAGCTCATCTCTGCTGTCACAGGGCACTGCCGGCTGTAGCCCTTTTGGGGTGGAATGAGGAAATCTCATGTTGCAGGATGCTTTCTGGGCTGGCTTGTGTAATTTAGTCTCCTGATAGGAAGTGAATTTGGCTTCTTTAAGGTTAGGCACTTTAAGACAAAGGAAAAGGGGCCATGTTATTTGGAGGGCATGGGCAAAAGGGAACAGCTAGATGGGGCACTGCCTGCCTGGAGGCCTTCCTTCCTGTTTTCTCCTGTGGGAGATGCCAGGTCTAAAAACAGCGTGTGAGCGGGAAAACACGCACCCTGGTAGCTCTCGATTTCGCCAGGACTTGATGTTCTCACAGCCTGAGCTTGCTCAGCTGACCTCTCATTTCCCAGAAAAGGGTCAGGGAGAGGCCCAGATTTCCCTACAACTCAGGCAGGAGAATAAGGGGAAAATTATTATTGACTCATTTGCTTTATTGATTGATTATTAATCAGCACTCACTAAGTGTAAGATTTAAGTTATTCTTAAGTAATTCTTTTGCTCCAAATATTCAGGTTTGTCTGTGCTGAATTTCCTTTATGTCATTATGGTTTTTGTTTCTGTTTTTCATGAAGAGAAACTTTAAACAATATTCTGCCACATAACAAAAGATTCATAACCTCATTTGATACTTGCTCTGTTTTTCCTTATCCCAACAAATAGATCTTGAAGAAGTCTTTTATAAAGAAAGTCTTTAATGTCTCTGGCCATAAATGAAGGTGTTCTCATCTGTTATAATTTAAAATTACAGATATACTCAGCATAAATGGAATTGGGTCACATATCATAAGGAATCAAATGTATATAATAACTTCCTTTTAATTGAAAATTGTGTTATCTCTTTGTGTTACTCTCTGAGACCTCATTCCTAAATTTAATATATTTCATATTGAATTTAATGAATCCTGTAAACAAAGAGGTCATGAAAAAATAGAATTTGATACTGAAATCCAGAGTTGGTTAGTTAAAAAGCTCTTATTCAGTTCAGAGACAGTAACATGAAGTATTTAACATTTTCACTCTTACCTTTTCCTTGACTAGGCTAAAGTGAACAACTCCAGCCTGATAGGATTAGGATATACTCAGACCCTAAAGCCAGGTATGTATTGGTGAAATTAGTTGTCTTACAACAAAATGTGGTGCTGGTTTGCTGCTTTAGGTTAATTGCTTATAAATAACTGTACAGTACATTGTAAATGAGTGTATATCAGATTTTATAGTTGAATGTTTATAAAGGAGTGCTGTCATTATAAAACATTTGGAGAACAGGAGAGGTGATATGAAGGAGAAAAAAGGCCAAGGCTAACATATATTACATTTTTAATTATTTTCTTCCATTCTTTGTCCCAGTGTGTACCTAATGCTTGATACTTATTTCCAGCAAGTTCTTAAAACCAGCCTACCGATCATCCTCATTGTAAAACTGGTTTGTAGGTTTCTTCTGCAAAGTTAGCTAGGCCAGTCCATCGAATTAATGTTACAGCTACAGGAAATAATACCACCTTGGGGTTAGTTTGGTTAAATTGGGGTTTTGAATTCTGGATATCTAAGATTACATGATGGCAGAATCAAGCTATTCTCGAGAAAATAGCATTTAGTTGTGTGTGTGTGTATGTATCCGTGTGTTTGTATCTGTGCTGTGAGTGGGAGCGTAAGACCTTGGAGTCTGATTCATAGCTAGGGTTTTGTTTCAGGGGGCTTTTGCTAAAGAAGTTTACTGCGTGGTGCTGCGTGGGATATTGAGAGGATAAAGGAAAGCAGAGTCCCTTAAGTGGATTTGGGTGAGCTGTGGAAGAATCATTATTGTTTTATCAGCTCATCCTAGGCTGCCTAGTCATTAGTCAGATGGTGTTGAGTAACAGGGACTGAAGAGCCCTGTGGTTTTGCTCCTGCTGATCACACACGGCTGGAACAGGTTTTGAACCTGATGTGGTGTCCCCAGTGTGCTGCAGTGATCCTCCTGAGCTAACCTTTCTTCTCCTTTCTTTTCTACCTCTCTCTTCCTTTCTTCTCCCTGATTTCTCCTGCAGGTATCAAACTGACACTGTCGGCTCTGCTGGATGGCAAGAATGTCAATGCTGGTGGCCACAAGCTTGGTCTAGGACTGGAGTTTCAAGCATAAATGAATATTGTACAATCGTTTAATTTTAAACTATTTTGCAGCATAGCCACCTTCAGAATTTAGTGTACCTTTTAATGTTGTATGTCTCGGATGCAGGTATTGCTAAATATCATGTTAGACTTCCAGGTTAAAGATGATTCAGCTTTAGGGTGTTACCCTTTCAGAGGTACAGAAGAAACCCAATTTCAGAAAAGGTCCTTTCAGCTGTAGACTTGGTGGGGAGCTTGCTGGCCCCACTAGAGATGTCAGGTTTCTTTTTTACCTAGAAATGGCTGCAAGTGGAAGCTGATAATTTGCAGGCACTTTGTAAATTCCTATTGAATAATTGAATGAAATTGTAACTTCCTGAGAATTGAACCTTGGTTTCCTACCCTAATGGATTGAGGAGAGGCTCTTTGTTTGATGGTGTGTACAAACTTATCTGAAAGGGACTTTTTTAGGCAGGGACTTTTTCCACCTCCATCCATCACCTCTTTTACACAAAAAGTAGTCTGCAGGGTGTGGTAGCTCTTTCTTTTGTGCCATTTTGGGGTGGAGAAGTTGTGATGAAGCCAATAATTCAGGACTTAATTCCTTCTCACATTGTGGTTTTTTTGCCCTTGCACCAGAGTATGAAATAGCTTCTAAGAGCCCCAGCTGCAAGCTGGGAAGAGTCTCTGTGACTGTAATCACATGGTGACAACACTCAGAATCTAAATTGGACTTCTGTTGTATTCTCGCCACTCAAGTTTATTTTTTAGCAGTTTAATGGGTACATTTTAGAGTTCCATTTTGTGTGGAATTAGATTCTCCCCTTCAAATGCTGTAATTAACATCACTTAAAACTTGAATAAAATATTGAAACCTTACCCTTCTTTGGTTGTCTTTATTAATAAAAGTGTAAATAAACAGGGCATATGTTTGTCTTGTTTTTCAGCTTCTTGCTGTGGTTATGTGTGTGTGATATTTTTAGTTTTCTGTTGCTGCATAACAAATTACCACAAATTTAGTGGCTTAAAACAATACTTATTTCACAGCTCTGTTGGTCAGAAGTCTAAGCTCTAGGTACCTGGGCTCTCTTAAGATTCTCACAGTGGTGAAATTAGGATGTCAGCCAAACTGTGTCTTCATCTTAAGCTTGGGGTCTTCTAGTCTCACATGGTTGTAGCAGAATTCAGTTGCCTTTAGTTGTCAAGACAGTGGTTTCTATTGATACTTCGTTGCCAGCTATCAGCTAGGGGCTGCTTTCAGCAAACAGAGACCATCTGCATTGCTTGACACGTGGTCTTCTCCATTTTGAAACCTGGAACAGAAAAACTTCACCAGCAAATTCTTGCCACACTTATTTCCTCCAGAAGAGCCCAAACACCTAATTCTCAAAAAATTTTATGTTTAAAATTAAGATATAATTGGCATATAACATTATGTTGGTTTCACGTGTACAACAAATGATTTGATATTTGTATGTACTGTGAAATAATCACCATACCTGGATGTCCAGTTAACATCCATTACTTGTACAGAATTGTTTTTTTCTTGTGATGAGAAGTTTTTTCTTTTTTTAAAAATGTTTTTATTTTATTTATTTATTGTACATGTAGCATGTGGGATCTTAGTTCCCCAACCAGGGATCAAACCCATGCCCCCTCCATTGGGAGCTCAGAGTCTTAACCGCTGGACCACCAAGGAAGTCCCTGATGTGAAGTTTTAAAACCATTAGTTATGGTCACTGTGCTGTACATTACATCCCCATAACTTAGATCCTTTCAAGGGCTCACCTGATTAGGTCAGGTCCACTGAGGATAGTTTCCCATTAAAGTCAACTGTCCACATAGCATAACCTAATCACAGGAGTGCTAGCTCACATTCACCTGTCCCTCCCACACTCAAAGGCAGGGGATCATATAAAGGTATGGATCACTGGGGATGATCCATATATATTTAAAAATAACTTGTGGACTTCAAGCATTTACAAAACATCAATAGAATAGTAACTCTGCATGTGTATTACTCAGCTTCATCGAATGTAAACTTTTTTCCTATTCAGTGATAAGCGGTTTTAGGCAGAATTCCTTTTTATGAATGTTTGAAAGTGGCAATTCCAAACAGGTATCAGATTTACTTTAAGCAAACTGGTCACCCCAAACCTGCTGGCTTCAGTATTTGTCATATTTTATCAGGTTCATAAAGACCTGCAGCTATTTCAAAGAGAACTTTGTTAAATGTGTTCAGAGACTGTGGTACATAATGCTTGTTGGGTACATCCATTTAGATGCTAGGTACATTAATGGTACTTTGAAAGGCACAAAGGGCTCTCTGAGGGAATTTTTTCCATTTATATATTGTCTGTTGCATGCAGCATGTCAGAATGTTGTGCAAAATGCCCTGAGTTCATGATACACCAGTAGGAGAATTGAAACAGTCTAGTATGGGGACAAACAAAGGGGACAAAAAAGAGGACTGAAGGTATGTTTGTTACAGGAGAAAGGCCTGATTAAGCCTGAATCTCCCAACATGCAGACGCTAGAATTAAGACTTATTTATAAAACTGAGTGATGGTTTTTGTACTCGGAGGGAAAGCTCTAGGGGAACTTGGGAGGACTTTGAACCCTGGCTACCCTGAAAGTTTTGCAATAAGGGCACCATTCAGTCTATTTGGGCTTGTGGCTGGCTTGGGGAAATGAATAGATGAATGACCTTTTAGTTTTCTTAACAACACAGAGTTTGTGTGTTTCTGAGCGGTCACCAGGGCCAGATAAATGTTAAGGGAAACCAGATTCAGGAGAACACAGGCCCTTCTCAATCCTCAGAGAGGCAGCTCAACTGTATATGGGGGAGAGGAGCAAGCTTCTAAGGGAATGATGGAGACCAGAGTGGAGAAGCTGTGGGGTAAAATAAATGTCTTGTTTCATGACATGATTTTCCTGCAAATCAATCAAATTTAATTTTATGACCTGAAGCCTATATACATTTATTAAGAAAACATTCACAGAACACACAGACCACAGCATTGTGGCTGGGGCCTTAAGGGAACTTCCTGGAAGCTTCTAAATTTGCATTTTCATATACTGGGGGTTTTAAGTTACAGGATTTAAAAATAGGTTACTCCTCTTCCCTAGCTCACTTCTCTGCTTTTCCTTCATAATACCTTTACCATTATATATAGTATGCATTTTACACCATAGTCTGCCTCACAGGAAAAGAAATTCCTCAAAGGTGGGAGTTTCTTTCAGTGCTGTATACTGAAACATGGAGAGGTGCTAAGTATTTGTTGAAGTAATAAATGATTATGGGGAAAGGTAAAAAATAAAACATTAACCTAAAATTCCACGACCCATTCTTTATGTTTCCTTTGCTTTTGGGAGGGGGAGGGCAGTTACTTCTCTTTTGGGATCACTCTATTACGAAGTTAAATCATTCAAAAAATGTTCTAAAACAATTAGCTGTGTAGTAGCTCGTCACGTGGGAGGGAGAGGCTTGCTCTGACCCTCTTCACACCTTACAAATTACATACTTAGTTTGCAGCCGACTTTAACGTGCTCCCCCTTGTCCCAAATCCCGCTGTGCCTCTCTTTCGTTCTCCTTTCCAGAGCTCCACTCCTGGCCGCGGCGTCATCACGCTGGGTTGCAAACGCCTACGGACGCCGCGATGCTTTACGTAGTGTCTGACGTCACGACGCAGAGCCTAGCAACCGCGCAGGCTCGTAGCCGAGACCGTTATGGCTGCCGCCGCCCGGAGGAGGATGCGCGGCGCCGAGCAAGCAAATCTGCCGCCCAGGCCAGGTGTCCAGGTCCCCGGAGGGCTGGCGCGGCCGCTGGTCCTGGCTCTCCTGCTTGCATGCGCCATCATGCCCAGTGGTAAAGGGGGCGCGGCGGCAGGGCGGGCGCGGGAAGACGGGGCGGGCCCCGGCGCGGAACCCCAAGAAGGGCCCGGCCAGGGAATGGGCGATTCCGGGTGTCCGGAGCAGGTGGCAATGTCTAGAGGGGCAGGGTCTCTATAGCCCTGGAGAGACTGTCTGAAGGTCTGTGGCGAGGGAGGTTGTCTGAAGGGGTCTGTGAAGGTAGGGTCTTTAAGAGGCCTCAGAAGGGGAGCTTTCAAGCTCCCCGGAGACCCGGGGAGCGAGTGTGTAGATGGGCGGGGAGGGCTGAGTGGCCGTGCCGTCTAGAGAATGGGTTGCCACAGAGAATGGCGGTGATGCGGTCTCCAAAATTCCGTGGAGTAAAAAAACAAAACAAAAAGACACAGAAAACGCACAACTGTAAGAGCTGTGAGTTGAGTTTATTCAGTGTCTTACTAAAGGTTGTAGCAGGCGGAGCCAGCTTTTCAGTTCTGGGAAATTGGTCGAAGAGGTCAAGGGAGGAGCCAGAATATGTATGATTTTTTTTTTTTTTTTTTTTGCTGGGACAAGTAGTTGAACATCAGAAGATTATTGCTAATAACAACAGATCTGAAGGTTATAATTTTAGTACTTTTCTCTGTTTGGGAAGAGACAGGAATCGGGGGTTATTGAAGTTTTTCCTTAAAGAGGCATTTCCTTAGATAGGACCCGTATATCCAAGGCAGAATACTTCATCCTGCTTTTCTCTATCGCGAATTCCCCTCAGGCCCACTGTGATGGGCACTTGCAGTGGCTACTGGCTTGAATCTTGTGGCGCTGGAATGGCACACAACCTTTTTTTTCCCCCCTCCTTTTTCTTTATAGAGAAGGGAGTTAGGAGGGTCTAGAAGAGAGGACAGAGGGGATAGGTGCTGAGGAGATTAGAAGGTGTGGTATCCAGAGGTAGTCCCAAGGTCAGGGGTGGGTGCCCAGGGGTTTAGCTGGGCCAAGGGACGGTGAGATCAACCGTAAAGAGGAAGGTTGGGTAGGGGCAGTGACTGGACTGAGCTGATGGAATATTTTGGAGAGCAAAAGGGAAAAGAATTCTCTTTGAGTACTGTTACATCTCAGGACTGGGAGGTTCTGGTGCTTGTTAAAGAGCCAGAATGCTAGAGTGTTGGGCTTCTGAGGGGCTTGGGAGGAGGACAGGAGTTCTGGGACAAGTGAGATTCTTTGTAAATGTAGTCCCCCTCTTGTGTCCCTCTGTGTCCTAGATAGCCCTGCTTCATTTTGATGGATCTGTAGGATTTAAGTGTTTCTTTTTTAGTTTTTTGAGTCATGATTGACATATTAGTTTCAGGTGTACAGCATAATAATTTGATGTTTGTAGACATTAAGTCTGGTTGCCATCAGGCATCCTGCATCGTTAACAACAATTTTTTTCTTATGGTGAGGACTTTGAAGATTTGCTTTCTTAGCAACTTTCCAGTATGCAGTATTATTAATTATGGTCACCATGCTGTACATTGCATCTGCACGACTTATTTAATTTATAACTGGAAGTTTGTATCTTTTGATTCCCTTCACCTCCATTCTCTCCCCCTGCCTCCCCCACCATTTTGTTTTCTGTATCTATGAGTTTAGCTTTTTTGTTTTGTTTTTTAAATGCCACATGTAAATTAAATCATGATATTTGTCTTTCTCTTACTGACGTGTTGCACGTTAGTGTAATGCCCTGAATATCCCCTCATGTTGTTGCAGATGGCAAGATTCCATTCTCTTATGTCTGAACGATAATTCATCCTGTATAAATACCTCAATTTCTTTATCCATTTCTTGATCCATGGGCTCCTTGGTTGTTTCTGTATATCTTGGCTATTTTAAATAATGCTACATGATTAGGTATTCCTTTTCTTAGAAATGTTACATTGTTAATCAAGTACTGAAGGCCTTATTGAGAAATGAAACCTGTAAACCTTAACCATGTTCTGAGACTTGGGAGGAACAAATGCACTAATAAGAATTTGTAATGCTTTTAAGCAGTATCTTGTGTAGTAGCTCCTTTTATTTTCAGGCCAAGGCACAATCGTTCTTATGCCTAAATCTTTTCTGAGTTCAGATGAAAAGCAGTATGAGTGGGCTGGTGTTCACTTACCTTGCCAGCGAGGCTGTCTAGCCCTACATTCCTCTGCTACAGTGCTGTGGTGACTTACTTGGGTTTCCCCAGAAGCACTGAGGGTGTGTGGACCTCCCTCCCAGAAGTGTTTGTTAAGTCTGGGGAAGGACTGTGGTCCATTTTCCCAAGGTCCTTTCATAGCTAGTAAATAAGGGCGATTTCTCTTGCTGATGCAAGTATTCCTGTTCCTAAAGTTTTTAAGTAGCATGGTTGTTTTGGTCATTTAATCATCTAAGAAAAAACTGACATATAAACATTTATATTTCTTGCTGGAATACTTAAGATATATGGTTTGGGGGTATATGTAGCTGGTAACTATAGTTTCAGAAACAACTTTTTAAGACATGGTTGAAGATCTTCTGACATGTGCTTTTAATAGGGAGGCAGCTCCTTGCAGTACAGTGCAGCATGTGTAGAACTTTGGCTAATACAGATGTTCTTTGTAAGTGTGCCTTAGGGTAGAGTGGTTTCAAAGTAGTTACTCTTGTCGGAAGAAAATGAAAGTATTGAGTTTCAAACTTCAAGTAACCATAAACATTACAAAGTTGCCATATCAGTTTTATTTAAACTTGTTCCATTGTTTCTTAAACTTTCAGGGCTTGGGTGTATTCTTGGCAATCTCTGAGACTTTTTTTAGTTTTATGTGTCATGAATTAAAAAAAAACTAATGTAAGCATTATTTTGGATTACGGGGTACTCACTCTAAGATCAAGTCTGCCATGCTATTTCAAAAATGCCTACTTTCTACATTCTGCCATCATATTGCTCCCAGATGTTGCCTTAATTTATTTAATATGTAATGTATTTAATTTTTAAGGCATTGTTTCTCAGAATTCAATGTGTGAATGAATTCTCAGAGAAATATTGATACAGTGTAAGCAAGTTTTAAAAAAGGGACCAGCAGAAGAGAAATTAAAAACTTTTAATTTTTAAAAAGTTAATTTTTAACTAGAGAGGTAATATCAAATAGGGAAGGGTAGAGATGGAACATACATTTAGAAATCTAAAGTTATATACATATATATATATATAAACTTGAACAAGTAAATCTGTGAAGTCAGAGTTACCACTTCGTTCTGAACACATGTCATAGCTGACTGAGTCAGCCTCTTTTCTTTGAAGGAGTGGTGGTCTAGAAGGTTGATCTAATTTACATCAAATGTTTCAGATGTATTCCTAGTTTGTTTTCTTGAATGTAACATCTAGTGTTTTTTATTCTTTGGATGCACTGCAAGGCATGCAAGATCTTAGTTTCCCAGCCAGGGTTCACACCCATGCCCACTGCAGTGGAAGCACAGAATCTTAACCATTGGACCACCAGGGAAGTCCTAATTTCCACATTTTTACTCCTTGAACAGTATTTATTAACTCCTATTTTTTTTTTTTAAAATATGCAACACCTCACGAATTTGCATGTCATCCTTGCGCAGGGGCCATGCTAATCTTCTCTGTATCGTTCCAATTTTAGTGTATGTGCTGCCGAAGCGAGCACTTAACCCTCCTCCTGTCTGGAGCTTCCCTGGTGGACTCCTACTTGATGCTGGGTATCGGAGTTCCAGCAAATAGGGTGATGTTGCAGATATCCTTAGAAGAGTGAGTGGGGTTTTACCTGGCTAGGAACTATGAGAAAGGCTTTTGAGAGGGTGTAGTAGGTACAGAAACACTACTGGGGAGGCAGTGTGGGATTTGTGGTGAGAGTTGGGTCAAGAGCATATTCAGTGTTTATTGAGTGCCTGCTCTCTGTTAAGTAGGCAGTGGGGATAGAATAGTTTGGAAGATTAGTAAGAGGTAATAGCATTGAGATAATGGGGACCAGATCATATAGGAGCTTATAGGCTATTATAAAGGCTTTGAATTTCACTTTTGAGAGAAATGGAAAGCTACTAGGTGGTTTTAAACAGAGCAGTAACATCATCTAACATAAGGTTTTACAGGGTGACTCTGGCTGTTACGTTGAGAGTGGACACTGGGGATCATGGTAGAAGCAGGCAGATCATTTAGAAGACTACTATAATAATCTAGGTGAGATGATGATGGCTTGGATTAGGCAGTAGCAATGGAGAGGTGAAAACTCTTCAAATTCTTCATGTATTTTGAAGGTAGGGGTGGGGTGTTAAAATAATGACTGCAAGGCTTTAGGCTTGAACAGCAGGAAAATGGCATTGTCATAACTGAGAAGGAGACTGTAGATAGAACAGGGTTTTTATTTGTTGTTGTTTCTTTGTCTTCTCTTTTTGGGGTGGGGAGCAAAAATTCATGTCTTTAACCTTTTTACCTTGGAATAGTTGTAAATTCACTTGCAGTTGTAAAAAATAAAATACAGAAATTCTGTGTACCCTTTACCCAGTTTTTCTCAGTGATAGTATCCTGCAAAACTGTAGGACAATACCACAACCAGACACTGATATTGATACAGTCAAGATAACACAGAGCATTTCCATCACCATAAGGACTTTTTTCTGTGGCTCTTTAAAAAGTCACCCTCACTTTTTCCCTATCCCTATTCCCTCCTGGATTCCTGGCAACCACTAATATTTTTTATTTCTATAATCTTATCATTTTGTGAATGCGATGTATGGAATCATATAATATGTAGCTGTTGGGAGTTGGCTGGTTTTACCTAGTATAATTCTTGGGAGAGTCATCTAAATTGTTTCATGTATTAATAGTTTGTTCCTTTTTGTTGCTGAGTAATGTTCCTTGGTATGGATGTGTACTACACTTTGTTTAACCATTCATCTATTGAAGAACATCTGAGTTTCCAGTTTTTGGCTATTATGAATAAGGCTGCTATAAACATTTATGCAAATATTTTTATGTGAACATAAGTTTTCATTTCTCTAGGATAAATGCCCAGGACTGTAACTTCTGGGTCATGTGGTAGTTGCACATTTAGTTTAAGAAATTACCAAACCGTTTTCTGAAATGGTTGTCACATGTTACATAACCACAGCAACATGTGAGTGATCTTGTTACCCTGCATCCTTGCCAACGTTTGACATGGTCATTATTTTTTATTTTAGCCATTCTGATAGGTGTATGGTGATATCTCATTGAGATTTAATTTGCATTTCGCTAATGGTTAACATCTTTTCATGTGCTTATTTGCCATCTGTATACTCTTTTTGGTGAAATGTCTCTTTATGTCTTTTGCCCATGTTCTAATTGGATTGTTTGCCTTTTCACTTTTGAGTTGTCATAATTCTTCATGTATTCTGGATATTAGTCCTTTGTTGGGTATGGGGCTTACAGATACTTCTTCCACTTGGTAGCTTGTCTTTTCTTCCTCACAAAAGTCTTTTAGGGAACAAAAGTTTTAAAATTTTGACGGAATCCAATTTATGAATTTTTCCTTTTATGTATTGTGTTTTTGGTATCAGGTCTAAGAATTTATCTAGTCCAAGATTCTGAAGATTTTTTTGGAGGTCTTTTTCTAAAATCTGTGTAGTTTTTAAAAAAATTATTATTTTAATTAATTTATTTAAACTTTGGTAGTGTTGGGTCTTCGTTGCTGCGTGAGGGCTTTCTCTAGTTGTGGTGTATGGGCTTCTCTTGTTGTGGACCACAGCCTCTAGGCGCATGGGCTTAGTTGCTCCACAGCACATGGGATCCTCCTGGACCAGGGATCGAACCCATGTCCCCTGCATTGGGAGGCGGATTCTTATCCAGTATACCACCAGGGAAGCCCCTAAAATCTGTGTAGTTTTACATTTAAATTTGTGATCCAGTTTTTAGTAAATTTTTACGAAAGGTGTGAGACTTATGCCAAGGTTCATTTAACTTGTTAATATGCTAGATTACATTGATTTTTGAGTATTGAGGCGGTCTTGCATCTCTGGAATAAACCTTACTAATCATGGAGTATCATTTTATATATTGCTGATTTCTTTTTTTTTTTTTTTTGGCTGTTCTATGTGATTTGCGGTATCTCAGTTCCCCAGCCAGGGATTGAACCTGGGCAGTGAAAGCTTGGAATCCTAACCACTAGGTCACCAGGGAACTTTATATTGCTGGTTTCTATTCGTTAATATTTTGTTAAGAATTTTTGCATTTCTATTCATGAAAGATACCAATCTGTAATTTTCTTTTTCTGTAGTGTCTTTGATTTTGGTTTCAGGAGCTTCATAAAAGGAATCACGAAGTATTCCCTCTGCAGGTCTCTGGAGGAGGTTGTATAGAATTGGTGTTAACTCTTCATTAAACATTTGGTAGAATTCTCCAGTGAAATTTTCCAGTGAATTCTCCATTCTCATGTGGGCTGGGATATTTAATTTTGGGGAGTTTTAAAATTAAGAATTCAGTTTCTTTAATAGTTCAAGGGCTGTTCAAATTATGCATTTCATATGGGGTAAATTGTGCTTTGTGGTTTTAACATTCTGGTCTTAAACTTTCTCTTTTAGTTGCTTTTTATGACATTGCTCTGACAGGGGAGGTGGGGGTTGGTGCACATTACTTGCAGTTAGAGCTAGAAATCTAGGGTCTCTACTCGATCTTTGTTGAGGCCTTAAGGACAGCGGTGGTCTGGTAATTCTGGGCAGAGGTGGGAGTTTTGGCTTCTCTTGCGGTCTGCACTGACATATTGGTGGGGACAGCCTCGTTACTGCTGGGCCATGGCTGAAGTCTTCACTGTTTGCTAGGCCTCCTCTGACATATCCTATTATGGAGGGGAAGGGGCACCTCATTGCAGCTTGGTCAGGGTGGTAATCTAGGTTCCCCACTTGGTCTTTGCTGCTGTAAGTGTGAGTGGAGAGTGGTGCTGTTTGTTTGGAGAGAGAGTAAGAGCAGTCGTCCAAAAGTTTTCTTTCTTGCTAGGCTGCCTCTCTCCTGATCTTCTGGCGAGAGAGCAGGCTTTTTTGGGGGCCCGTTTTGTCCATACTCCTGGGTGTTCCCAGGTTACTGGATTCTTCAGCTCCAAGTCTGGAATACATGAGGTAAAAAGAAAATTGAGGATAGTCAACTCTGGGTGGTTTCTCAGGTCCTGAGGTCTCTGATCGCTCTGCCTTATTCTTTCCACCTTTCACAATTGAGTTATGTTATTTTATATGTAATAGAAAGAGTTTTATTTGTTTTTAGTGGGAAGAATAGGGAAGAATACATTTACTCCATCTTCCTGGCAGTGCAAGTCAGAATTTCATTTTGAACATGTTAATTTGAATGACAAATCTAAGTGGACATGTCAGGTAGACAGTTGGACTTATGAGCCCAGAGTTCTGGTAGTTTGTGGACCTTTTCTTTTGAGGGCTTCATTTTTCTCAGAGAAGTCAGGAAGTTATATTAGCCTTTGAAAATGAGGACAATAGAAAAGGTTTTAGAAGTTTGAGGATAGAGGAAACTGTGAATGGTCTAGAAGGGTGAACAGACTAGGAAAATACAGTATAATTGCTGACAGCATAACATGTACATCTGGGGGTGTTGCATTTAAAATGAAATAAAAAAATGAAAAATAGAAAATGAAATATTCATCAGATAATAGTTGCCTTGCCAGATAGCAAGAACTTAAGCATCATAAGAGACCTGTTGCATTTTATAGCCTCCCTCCATAAGAAAAAGAAAGAATAGAGAGGGATCTGACTTTAGGTCACACTGGCAAAGTCCACACAGAGCTTGTGCCCTCTGTTTTAATTTCACAAAGGTTGGATTTCAGTATCCGTTCTCTATCCTAGCTGCAGAACAGAAAGGTGACTAATCCTAGCTTAGTGAAAAATATAGGTGTATTTCCTTCTAGCTTGATGGAGATAAATTTGGAGATTTCAGTTTAACATTTCTTTCTTTACTTATTTTAATTCTATCAGAGACTGATTCATTGAGCCAGCCTGTACTCACGTCAGATGTTTCTACTCCAAATATGAATGCTTTAACAAAGGAAAACCAAACCACACCTTCTACTTCCCAAATCAGCACCACTCTCCCTCCCACAACTAGCACAGAAAAAAGTGGAGCAGCATCCGTGTCCCCTCGCCCCTCGCCTACTACTACTCTGTTCCAAGAGGAAGTTGATAACAATGAAGATCCTAGCATAGAGGAGGAGGATCTTCTCACACTGAACAGTCCTCCGTCCACTGCCAAAGACACTCTGGACAACGGGGATTATGGAGAACCAGACTATGACTGGACCACCAGCCCCCGGGATGAAGAGTCCAGTGAAGCCTTGGAAGAAAACAGGGGCTACATGGAAATAGAACAGTCAGAGAGACCTTTTAAAACCCCACCCTCAAATATAGAAGAGGAAGATAGCCATTTCTTTTTCCACCTTATTATTTTTGCTTTTTGTATTGCTATTGTTTATATTACATATCACAACAAAAGGAAGGTAAGTTTGGGATTTTTTCACCCCCTCTAATTGCCCTCTATTATCTCAGTCATACTTCTTATTAATGCTTTTGCTTATTCAGAGGTTTTTTTTCCTCTTTTTATCAGGTTTCAGTTGATGGTAAAATATTGTGATATCTCATCAGCTTGTATGTCTGTGTGTATTTTAACAAATGACAGAATGCTTTACTACATGTGAGTGAGTTAGTGAAAGTTGCTCAGTCATGTCTGTCTCTTTGCAACTCCATGGACTATACAGTCCATGAAATTCTCTAGGCCAGAATACTGGAGTGGGTAGCCTTTCCCTTCTCCAGGGATCGAACCCAGGTCTCCCACATTGCAGGTGGATTCTTTACCATTTGAACCACAAGGGAAGTCCAGAAATACTGGAGTGGGTAGCCTATCCCTTCTCCAGTGGATCTTCCCAAACCAGGAATTGAACCGGGGTCTCCTGAATTGCAGGTAGATTCTTTACCAACTGAGCTATCAGGGAAGCCCACTAAATGTGCTTCTAAAAAAAGAAGCCAATTGATTTTGAGCAAAACCAAAGCCTGATGATTTTTTTTTTAAAGGCTTTATGTCTTAATTTAGCATTGTTACTTCATTGGGCAACCCACTTCAGTATCCTTGCCTGGAAAATCTCATGGACAGAGCAGCCTGGTGGGCTGTAGTCCATGGGGTCGCAAAGAGTCGGGCACGACTGAGCGACTTAACAACAACAACAAACAACTTCTTTGGGAGTACTTGTGGAGAGAGATGTTAATTTAATTTATTTACATTGAACTTAATGATATTTTGATACCTTTTTCCCCTGGTTGTTAAAAGTATTAGATGTTTTTTTTAGGGACACAGAAAAATGTAGAAAAGAAAGTGTAAGCTACTACCCAAAGCTGAGCATTATTAACATTTTGGTATATTTCTGGCCTATAAATGTGTGTATAATTCAGATATATATGTGTATGCTAATAATTTTTAAATGAACTTGATTTCATATAGAGTTTTATATCTTGCCTTTTACCTAACAAATCATGAGTGTTTTTCATATCATTAATTTTCTTTAAAAACATGATTTAATAGCTACATAATTTAACTATTTTCCTGTTTAGTATTTAGATTGTTTTCAATTTTTGATCCAGAAATAGTAATATGATGAACATTGCTGTACTGAAATTGGTTTGTTGGATTACATGAGGCAGAGGAGGCATAAATAGGACTGTATGGATAATTTAGTGTGAGGGTTCATTGGGGCACTCTGCAGTCCCTGAGCTAAATAGTTAAACTTTAAATACTTAAAGGGCAGTCAAACACAGTGTCCTTTTTAATACTTACTGGTCAGGAAATCTCAGTTCTTGACTTTGTTGTAACTTGCTTTCTGATTCCTAGCACCCACTTCCCCTTTAGGACATTGATTTTCTCACCTGCAAAATGATACAAAGGTAATTTCAGAATGCCTTCCAGCTTAGAGAATCAGTGATTCCAGTATCTCATTTTTGGTTTTGAGTTGGTTTATTTGTGGTTTAGTGGTCTCACTAGCTGTGTAACTATTTGTAAGTGGATGAAATTTTGAATGACAATTATGTTTTATTCCAGTGTTCAGTGTTGGACCATCTCTATTATAAACACCTAAAGAAAGAAAGTGAAGTTGCTCAGTCATGTCTGACTCTTTGCGACCCCGTGGACTGTAGCCTACCAGGCTTCTCTGTCCATGGGATTTTCCAGTCTAGAGTACTGGAGTGGGTTGCCATTTTCTTCTCCAGTGGATCTTTCCGACCCAGGGATCGAACCTGGGTCTCCCACGTTGTAGGCAGACCCTTAACCCTCTTAGCCACCAGGGAGGCCCTCAGGACTTAAACACCTAAGGGACTTGTTAGACAGGTAGGTTCCTGGACTCCACTGCTATCTATTAGCTCATCTCTGACGAGAGAGGCCAGGAATCAGTCTTTAGCAGGGACTTCTATATATTTTAAAATTTAAAAAGCGCTGTTTCAGCTTATTTACAAGATGGAAAACAAAATAGCCCTTTTGTTGTTGACATTTTACTTTTGTATTTGGGAACCTAGGAGACACATATTTCAGTTATAAAAACTTTTAGCGTGTCCTCTATTTTCTCTTTTGAATATCTGATTTATTTTGTTTTATTCCAGATTTTCCTTCTGGTTCAAAGCAGGAAATGGCGTGATGGTTTTTGTTCCAAAACAGTGGAATATCATCGTCTCGACCAGAATGTTAATGAAGCAATGCCTTCTCTGAAGATTACCAATGATTATATATTTTAAAGCACTGTGATTTGCATTTGCTTATTATGTAATTTTATTTGCTTGACTTTTTATATATTGTGCAGATGTTTGCCATTGGCAGTTCATACTTAAATGAGAGGTAGGCCTCTCTTTATTTTGCCTTGGTGCTTTGGAAATTAAGTATCACGAACAAGGAGTATATAATTTTTTATCTACATTTTTAGAGGTGAATTCAATCAGGTGTCCAAAATGTGGAGCTACGCATTACCTGTTAGTTTTTTATTGTTTTAGATTTCTTTATTGTACTTCTTCTGGAAGTGTTAGTAATGCTACTTTTAAAAAATCCCAAACTTACAATTAAATTCTAACACATCTGATACTGCTGACTCAGATTCTCTTTCTGCCATCCAAATACTGTTTCTTAAGCACATATTTCTTTGTGCTGTAAGACTGTAATCTACAAGGATATATGTAATAATGCTTTACATATAAGTAACATTTTTTCTTCCAGGAAAATTGCTTTGGATATTTTTGGATAATTTATGTATAATTTATTATTTCTCATTCTGACCACGATTTTAAGTAGCACATTAATAAATATGTCTAGAAATTCTGGCAATAGAGACTCTGCAGTTTGCAGTGGATGTAAATAAAATGTTATAGATAGCTTTTTTGGTTTCAATTACTGAATTAAATTTAGAGGTAGAAATTTTCATGAAATATTAAATACATGTACAATTGCTTTTACTTAGCAATTGATTGTAGCACGGGTTCCTCCAAGCTTTCAAGCAAGGGGCAGAGTTTAAAATTTTATCATATTTGTTCACTTGCTTATTTTTTATAGTAAGTTTGAATGAATTTTAGGAGACATTGTAATTTAAATAATATTGTATCTAGGTCTTTCAAATTAAAATGATACCTGTTTGTATACATAAAGGCTGTATATGGACACTGACTCTTTTTCCCTTTGTTTTGTTTCTTGTTCTTTTTTAATAGCAACTGGAAATTACTTACTGTATTTAATTTTGACTTGTCTTTCTATCATAAGGAATTGATCAGTATGTAAATATGTGATTTGAAACATGGTTGAGTTACAGGTGTCACAACAACTTTTTAGAAAACACAACCCCTAATATATGTTAAACACCACTCTCAAAACCCAGGTGAGCTAGTGGGCATATGGTTTGTGTAGAGACAGAAGAGGCAGGGTAGCCCATCATTTCTCTAGGGTGGACAGTTTACTGTTGCAGTAAGGAAGGGAGGCACAGTGGGAGTACACCTGAACTGCTATTGCGGTAACTTTTTTCATATCTGAAATTGTATTATTTAATATTTTGAATAAGATTTTAAAAAATAAATGGCAAAGATACAAATTCATGATTTTATGAGTGTCTTTCATTTTAATGGTGCGTCCTTCACTGGGTGGTGATAGATGGGTAGTGTATGTCTGGGAGGAAAAAAAAGAAAATGTATTAGCTTGCTTTTGTTCCTTTTAGCACTGAGATTCTGCTTCTGTGGATTCCACATACATTTCTAGATCCTACTTTAGATCTAGTTTATGGCTATTTACTGTGGTTTATTGAAAACCATAGCAAAGTAGGATTGCAAAGGAAAGTAAAGCAGCTAAATCAGCGTGCTGCACTTCTGGCAGCCTGCCTTCCTGGTTACCTTCCTGCTGAAGCCTCTCCCATGCTGGAGGATTGTCCCCCTCAGCGGATCTGGGCTTCTTCGGCGCTTCCTGACGGCACAGTCTTTGCTACCCGTGTCCCAGTGCTGCAATCAGATAGCCTCTGACTTGGAGCATCAGATTGTATATTGGGCCAAAATGCTTCCAGTGTCTTACAAAGGCGCCCAAGTCACTGGTCTGTTTATAATTCAGACAGACATGTGTATGTTAACAATTTTTAAATGAATTTGACTTCATATTGTTTTGCATCTTGCTTTTTACCTAACAGATCATGAGCATTTTCTATGTCGTTAATAGTTTTAAAAAACATCTAATAGCTGCATAATTTATTTAACTGTTTTCCACTTGACTGTTTAGATCATTTCCAGTCTTTGGCTCAGAAATAATATTGTGAATATTTCTGTATTGGAATTGGTTTGTTGGGTTAAATGAGGCAAAGGAGGCATAAATAGGAATGAATGGCACAAACAAGACCTACAATTGAGTCTTAAAACACCGATGTATCCTACTCATATGTGGTATAGCCTTTCAGTGTCAGTTTCTGGAGAGACCGGGAGCATTGCTCCAAATGGTGGCACTAAGGGCATAATAGATAACACTTTAGTTACCATTTCTGTATCTTATCTGAAAAAGAATGTGTTGAAAGTTGTGAGGCAGACAGAAGCAGACATTTAGAATTTGTGCAGGCAGGCATGTCTTCTTTTTTTTAAAAAGATTTATTTTTGGCTGCTCTAGGTTTTTGTTGCGGTGAGTGTTCTTTCTCTAGTTGCAGTGTGTAGGCTTTCCGTTTTAGGGCTTCTCTTGTTGCGGAGTGTGGGCTCTTGGGTTCAGGAGTTGGGGCACACCAGCTTAGTTGCTACGAACCACGTGGGATTTCCCCAGACCTGGGATCGAACCCGTATTCCCTGCAGATTCTGAACCAGTAGAGTACTAGAGAAGCCCCTCAGGAGGGCAAGCGTGTCTTGACTGGGTTTTGACTTTATTTTTAAAGATTTTCAACTTTGTTTACTTTTTTAACATTTATGTATATTTATTATTTAAAGAGATGGGAATACCAGAACATGTTACCTGCCTCCTGAGAAATCTGTATGCAGGTCAAGAAACAACATTTGGAACTGGGCATGGAACAATGGACTGGTTCCAGACTGGGAAAGGAGCACATCAAGGCTGTATTGTCACCCTACTGATTTAACTTACATGCAGAGTACATCATGCGAAATGCCGGGCTGGATGACTCACAAGCTGGAGTCAGGATTGCTGGGAGAAATGTCAATAACCTCAGATATGCAGATGATACCACCCTAATGGCAGAAAGTGAAGAGGAACTAAAGAGCCTCTTAATGACAGTGAAAGAGGAGAGTGAAAAAGTTGGCTTCAAACTCAACATTCAAAAAATGAAGATCATGGCACCTGGTCCCATCACTTCATGGCAAATAGATGGGTCAACAGTGGAAATAGTAACAGACTTTATTTTCTTGGGCTCCAAAATCACTGCGGATGGTGACTGCAGCCATGAAATTATAAGACACTTGCTCCTTGGAAGAAGAGACGTCACTGCTGACAAAGATCCGTATAACCAAAGCTATGTGGTTTTTCCAGTAGTCGTGTACAGATGTGAGAGTTGGACCATAAAGAAAGCTGAGTGCCAAAGAATTGATGATTTCGAATTGTGGTGATGGAGAAGACTCTCGAGATTCTCTTGGACTGCAAGGAGATGAAACCAGTCAGTCCTAAAGAAAATCAACCTTGAATATTCATTGGAAGGATTGAAGCTGAAGCTGAAGCTCCAATACTTCGGCCACCTGATGCAAAGAGCTGACTCATTAGAAAAGACCTTGATGCTGGGAAAGATTGAAGGTAGGAGGAGAAGGGGGCGACAGAGGATGAGATGGTTGGATGGCATCACGGACTCAGTGGACATAAATTTGAGCAAGCTCCAGGAGATAGTGAAGGACACTCCCTGGCATGCTGCCATTCATGGGGTTGCAGAGTCTGACACGATTGAGCCACCGAAAAACAACAAAACAACATTATTTATTTGGCTACCCCAGACAAAGCAAGAGACTATAGTGAAGGGGTGTGTGGGTGGAGAGCAGTAGGGTAAGGGAACCCAGGACTGCTAGGCCACGTGGCTCTGTGGATCTTAATTGTGGCACGTGGGATCTAGTTCCCTGATCAGGGATTGAACTTGGGTCCTCTGCACTGAGAGTGTGGAGTCTTAGTCATTGGACCACCAGGGAAGTCCCTGGGAATTTGATCTTAGATGTGAATTGTAGAGGGTGAGTGCAAGCTCTTTAATAGAATGTGTGCAGGAAGCAGCTCTCTCTATAGCTGGTCTGCCCCAGAGTATGAGCTTGAGACCAGAGACTGGCTCTTACTCATCTCTGGCCCCTTACTCAGCACTGCGTGATGCCTGTTACTGCTGCTGCTACTGCTAAGTCACTTCAGTTGATGCCTGCTAGGTCCCTTGAAATCTTTTGATGACATAGTTGTGAAATTAGAGGATGAGAAAATGGGCTCATGAAGTCGGCATACAGTCTAATACTAGGAACATCTGGGACCTAGCACTGCAGGCAGTTGGGGGAGAACCAAGATGGAGTGTGTCAGCTTTATCTGAATACCCACATTCCTACGTAGAGTGAAAGTCCACATTAATTGTGTGAGATACCGCTTGTTCCCACAAACCCCAGGTTCTGATCAGAGCAGCTGCTGCCCATGAAGGTGAAAGGGATGAAGGTTACTGTGAGCATAGCTACCAGTGTTGTGGTTCTCTCTCCCTCTCTAGCTGACTTTGCCTTTTGCCCTTTTTCTGCCGATCTGGTGGTGCAATAGTTTGCCTCCTTTTTGGGTTCAGCAGTAAGCTGAAAATGGTGTGGAAACATCCCAGCAGAAGCTCAAGAGATTAGAAGTAAGTTGTGAAGGCCAGAAATCTTCCAAGGGAGCTGAAAAGTGGGCTGTCCTGAGGTTTGAAGTCAGTTTTACTTAAATTGTGTTCACCTGTGGTTTTACTTCCTTGAGGAGGACAAGTTGCCAGGATAGATTGTGGAGATGGAGCTGGGGCTGCTGAATCCCACCTCAAGAGCCCTGTGTGGTGGCAACCTGCTGTTTAGACTGAAGTGACTCCAGGGATTTTGGACCTGTAAGCAGCAGTTTTTCCCCCATTAGCTCTAAGCCCACCTCTCTTCAAGCTCCCTCCTAAGGAGTCCCAGACCCCTTTGCCACTATTGATGAGGCTCCAGATTTAAAAGCCCCGCTGTTTTTAAAGGTAGGAGGCCTTTCTATAATACCTAGCACACTAATAATATCTGTTCTCTGAAACCGTACGGTTCTTTCTCTCAGACCCCTAAACTGT